CTTAAGTGCCCGCTACTTTCGCTCACCACCGTTTTCGCTTCCGCAGCGATGTGCATTCTCCCTCTTTTCTTTTCAGGAGAACGCGGAAACTTGCCGGGATAGACCGCGCGCGACGGAGGGTCGCGTGTCGTCGTGCGGCTCGTCGTCGGCAATAGCGGCGGCGGCGGCGGCGGCGGCGGCGGGCATCGGGGTGGAAGGCGTCACCGGCGCATGGAGCGCACAGAGAGGACGGCAGTCGCCGCCACCACCCCTGGCATCGCGCAGGCTGGACTCGGCCTCTGACGCCGCAGCGGCGTCGTTCAACCCCGTCGTCGTCGCCGCCACCACCGCCGCCGCCGCCGCCGCCGCCGCCGCCACGCAAAGATGCGCCGCTGCGAAGGGCGCCGTCGCCGTCGATGCCGCAGCGCCGAGGTCGCCGCATATTTACCTGGATCCTCCTCTCGCCGCTGAGACCAGCAAGGAGGATGCCATGGAGCCGGAAACCAAGGAGGAGGACGAACGACGCTCGTCCACACCGAGTCCCGAGGTAGCGTCCTTTTTGCCTCTTATCGGGCTCTCTTTTTCGCGTGTGACAGCGTGACATAAAGTACTCCGAGTAATACTTGCATTCGTACGTAAAGTGGCTTTTTTTTTAATTTATTCGTTCGTAGTGTCGCGTAAGGGGTTCTTCAAGGAGGACGCGACTTAACGTTAGTGTTTGTTGCGGATTCCTTCGACTCGTATAGCTGGAATGGTTTATGTGGTATCTTGTTGGTCGTATCGATGTTAACACCATCGTTGGACCCAGGCAATTCCTTATTAGTGCACGCAGGACGAAGTGTTGGCCTTTTGAAATGGTTAAATTGTTTCGAAATAAGATCTAAATAATTTCAATATTACAGAACACTTAAGATTCCGATTATCTTCAGTCGTTTAGAACCAAAAGAGTGACAGCAACAGTTAACAACCGCATCGTCAATCTTTAGTTTACTTCAGTTTTTAATGTTATCATGTATAATTTCAGTGACATGGGAATTCGAACCGCGTCGAATCGAGATGTAATTCATCTTAGGAACGTGCGTGTTTTTAGCTTTTATTTCTGGAAAAAGTAAGGGCTTTAGCAGAACGGCCGACTTGTACTTTGCATCGACATATAGAATATATATCGATGATACTTTCAAGATAATGTCTTATGCCCCAAGTATTTGCCTTAAATAACGCACAATAATAGGCTTGTTTTCTGTTCCTACACTGGCGAACTAGTGCAATAAATTAGAGTGAGACAAGCATACTTTTTCTCACTCTAACTTACAGCACTAGCTCACCAGTGCGGGAACAGAAACCAAACCTATTGTCTCAAATGTCTTAAATGTGTACGAATACAACAATTTGCAAGGCACAAACCTACGTGACACGTGGAAGTAACAATTTTACTATGACGATTACTAATAACACATATGTGAATATTTTATAAACTTTGTCTTAAAACTACAAATGAAACGGAGCCTCTTCGCGAGAGAAACAAAGGTTGAGAACCACTACCATACGAATTGCCTTGTGCTCGTGGCGCACGAGTATATACACCTCCACTAACGTATCCCGTATTGATTTTACAGAGAGCCCTCGGACTCTCGTCTCTGTCTCGCACCGTCATCTACCGCCGTTCTCTTCTCTCGCACATCACTCTTTTTCCCTCTCCGCGCACATGTACACGCACTTCCCCTCTCCTCCCCCCGCAGAGTCCCGGCAGTCGTCCCGTCCTTTCTCTTTCGCTAGGCTTGGCCCTTTAAGTCGTCACCCTCCACGATGCGTCTGGATCGCATCATTTCCCTGTTCATCCGCACTTGCGCACGTGTTGAAAATTTCAAGCTCCAAGTGCGGTACGCAGCACGTTCCCTCTTGTATATGCTGCACAATCCTCCGGCGCGGAGAGGATTGATGATTTGCAGGTTTAAAAAAAGATCTTGTTTGCATCGTAGACGTTTGACCGAGGCCAATAAATGAAATGACGAATTTACTTCGCGATGAAAACCGACAAACGATACTTTTCTGTATTGTATCCCCGATAGGAAAATGTCTCAAATATGGCGCAATAATTGTATCATCCAAAAAGGAGAAATTTTCGCAATGATTGCATTAAGGTGATTCGTCAAAACGCAGCGGTTTTGTAGGAGTTTTCTAATTGGTATTTGCCCAAAAATTGATAATCTTCATTTAGGAGATAAATCATGCACAATTATTTCAACATCTAGAAACAAAATTACCCAGCAACACAGTTACGTGTAATACATGTTTAAGAAAGATTTAGCACAAGTTTACCACTGTGCCCATGATGCAACAATACCAGGTGTAAGGCCGGTATTACATTTATCGTACGACAAATTTTTCAAGTATGTTGATTGGCTGCAGGATAGGAAAGTTCCCGAGTATCTAGAAATTTTCTAGCTTATAGCTAATCAATACGCTTAAATATTTTGTCGTACGACAAATGCAATATCAGCCTAACATTCCCATGGATGCGCACTCGTGACCAATCAGAAATTTGGCCACAACCTTGAGACTGCAAATCATTACGATTGAATGCAGCAAAAACCAATGAACAATTTGCCCCAAAAACGGGTTACATGCGCAATGTTTCACCTCATGACTGGGTCTGCTTTTATCTCGTCTTGCGTGAATTTTACTTGAGTACGAGACGCTTCGTAGCGGCAGCTTGTCATAACACGACAGCAATTTAATTGTACAAATTTTCTGCCAAGATGACTCGTCAAAACGCAGCTGTTTTGCTGACATTCTATGTAGAAATACATTGTGCAAATATTTATCAATATTTGATGAAAGGTCTCCATTTCTACATATGTTGTTCGAAATACGTACGCATAATTCCAGCGTTCCAAATTTCATTCAGATTTCGTCACATAATTTTCTAAATATTTTCTAATCGGGGATATGTATATGCGCGCGCTAATAAGTATCTCGAGAGGAATCCTCATCAACATAAAATGATTGTATCGTGTCGTCTGTCGATCTTGAAAATATAGGAGCCGTCGTGTCGCGGGGAACAAGATCACGTCGTTAAAGGCACAAAAGATCCTCACGCCGTACACAAGATTGAAAATGGAGTGGAAAAATGTTTCATGTTACAGTTCTACCTGAGAAGGAGTAGACATTACAACGAGGATGGCAGCAGCGAGGAGGAAGCTAAGCAGGATAGCGTTTCTCTGCCTAGCCATAGGCTACCATCTTCGTATCGCGGAACGTGGCCCATTAGAAGAGACGTATGGGCTAATCAACAGATTGGCTTTCCGGCCCAGCAGAGCACATCACTCGCCGCACACAATGTAAGTTGAACGATTATAACGGAGTATTGTAATTCGTACCGCTTCTCGTGCGCATACAGGGTGTCGCGAAACCACCGCTTGTCTTTTTCCACGGTTAAAAGGACATCCGGTAGTTTTGGAAGAACAATGTTCCCAAACACTCAGCGTATATAGATCCCACAGGCTTCTATATTGATCTCTTTCGCAAGGTCGTGTCTCAATTTTACGCCATTTTCTGTTTTTGTGCTTAAACGCTCATTCTGGTCCAGAATAAACGTTTAAGCACAAAAACCAAAAATTGCATAAAATCGAGATACAACCTTGCGAAAGAGATCAGTCGATATGCTACTAGATAAATTTTCTAGGTAAATAAAGTAGTATGTGTGCATCGGTTTGTCACTGACAGACCGCGATGCACACATACTACTTTTTCACTTAACAAGACATGGCAGAACTCTTGCCTCACTTTTCAGCTGAAAGGCAACAGTCTAGGTAGTACATAGAAGTCTGTGGTAGATCCCAAATAACGCAGAACTTTAGACGGACAGTTCGGTTTTAAAAAAACCATCTAAAGAGATGTCTAAGAAGTCGGTTAAATCTTTAATGTTTGCTTGCACGTTATCTCCCAGAAAATATTTTGCGCACAAACATCTAGCTCTATGACTATGGCGACGCACTGGGACAGGATTTTGCTTGTACTGTTGAGCCATTTTTGTAAAAACGAGTTGTTAGATATTTGCACGCAAAATTATAATACATGAGCTAATCACTTGCGTGAGCAAAGAGCACGAACTAAAAATATGCATGCATAAAACGAGCAGAATTTGCGCGCAGGAATTGTTATACGAGCTGTACACGAATGAAAACATTGCGCGAAAATTTATGTCCGCACGCAGGATGTGGCCAGCGTGATGAGTTTCTCGTCGTCGTCCAACTCCGCGGGTCTCGCAGGCAACTCCGCGGAGCTCCAGGGTCATCGGCGACTAGGTGCCAAGGTGGATGTGGTGTACAATCTGTTGGGTATGCTCGAGAAAAACGGCCGGGATGACATGAGCACGACCCTGCTCTCTATGAGCACCTCCATAGACAGCTGCTTAGTGATGAGACAGTCCGGATGCCTGCCGCTACTAATACAACTGATCCACGCGCCCGGACAGAGTCCTGACACTCGAGACAGAGCTATGCAGGCTTTGCACAACATGGTGCACGCCAAGAGCGACGAGAGGGCCGGTCGCCGGGAGGCGCGTGTGCTTCGATTTCTTGAGCAGCTGCGTGACTATTGTCAGAGTCTGAGGATGTCCCTGGAACGGGATCAGCTCGCGGATGACCTCGAGAGGGGACACCCCGCGGCGACCATAGCCGCGCTTATGAAACTATCCTTTGACGAGGCTCATCGCCACGCGATGTGTCAGTTGGGCGGTCTCCACGCGGTCGCGGAACTCATCGAGATGGATCATTTAGCTCACGGCAGCGAGAGCGACGATCAGAACTGCATCACGTTGCGACGGTATGCAGGAATGGCGTTGACCAATTTGACCTTCGGCGACGGTAATAACAAAGCGCTACTCTGCTCCTTCAAGGAATTCATGAAAGCGTTAGTTTCGCAATTGAAAAGTCCCAGTGACGACCTCAGACAAGTAACGGCAAGCGTTCTGAGGAATTTGTCCTGGCGCGCCGACAGCAGCAGCAAGCAGACTCTGAGAGAAGTGGGCGCGGTGACAGGTTTGATGAAAGCCGCCATGGAAGGCCGCAAGGAATCGACTCTCAAGTCAATCCTGTCCGCTCTGTGGAACCTATCGGCCCACTGCAGTACAAACAAAGTAGACATCTGCGCCGTGGACGGCGCGCTAGCTTTTCTCGTGGATATGCTAAGTTACAAGGCGCCGTCCAAGACGCTCGCGATAGTCGAAAACGCCGGTGGTATTCTGAGAAATGTATCAAGCCATGTAGCGGTGCGCGAGGATTATCGAGCTATCGTGAGAGAGAGAGGCTGTCTACAGGTTCTCCTGCAGCAGCTGAAATCGCCCAGCCTGACCGTGGTTAGCAACGCCTGCGGAGCACTTTGGAATTTGTCCGCGCGGTGTCCTCAAGATCAACGTCTCCTTTGGGACTTGGGCGCCGTGCCGATGTTGCGCAGTCTCGTTCACTCAAAGCATAAAATGATCTCGATGGGTTCTAGCGCGGCGTTGAAAAATCTATTGAGCGCCAGGCCCGGCTGTAACAATCTCGTCCATTTGGATTCCACCGCTCGCGGACTAGGACTGTCGACCTTGCCGAGCCTGATCACTCGCAGGCAGCGGGCTCTGGAGCAGGAGATCGACCAGAATCTGGCCGAGACGTGCGACAATATCGAACCGAGCACATCGCCGATTAACAAGGACGATAAATTCACATTCAAGCTTGATCACAGTCTCCTTGGCATTAATGCTCACGGCCTGCGTTCCTACCAGTTGCACAGTCAACCCAGCACGTCCACCGCCAAGTGCAACGGCGTCGCCAGGAGCGAGAGTAGAGATTCGATGCGTTCTGTGACGAGCACGCATTCCGACACCATGTTCGAGCGGATAAATCGTCATGCTCTGAACGGGATGTCGAATACCGATTCGCAGATCAAGCAGCAATCCTCATCCTTGCATTCTACCGTCGAATTCGGTAACAAAGGCGTGTGTAGCGACGGGAGAACCACCACCTCCGAAAGGAAGTACACGTTGCGTTACAAAAACGCAATACCGGAAAAGCTAGGACCGTCCGATGTCTTCGATATAAACGAGCTGAAATGCACAAATTCTACCATATCGTGGGCCACAGTGCCTCAAGAATCTTCTCAAATCTCACTGCACTCTTCCATCGAGAACAACATGTCTCTGATCGATCGGAGCGTGTCGTCCTCGTCTAAGGCTGATAGTCAATCTAGTGTCTCTGAAGAGGTCGAAGCGACTGTTCGCGTTAAATCGGATTATCGACGAGTAATCGCAAGCGCGACCGTCGATAGTTCGACGTTGTTACATCAACACGACGCCTTGAACAGTATTCAGAAAGCAATATCGCCCGCAACAATCGTTCACAGTCCGGACGATAATTTATTCGGCGATTACGCCGAAACGGATTTGGATCAACCGACTGACTATAGTCTGCGCTACGGCGAACAAACCATCGACGACGAGAAACAACATTCCGGCTTCTTTTCGGCCAACGATCAAGGACTCCTGCACGAAGACACGGTCAGGACTTACTACACAGAGGGAACGCCGCGCGAAACATCCCTGAACTCTTCCAGGGCCACTTCCGCTTCCGATCTACAGGACGATAGCCGTATGAGGAGCTCATCGAAAAAATTACCAGAGCGATATAAGGCGAGGCATGTGGGGGACGTCGGTGAATGCAAAGCGTCGTCCTTGACAGACGTGCCGAAATTGAACGACTTCGCCGAGTCTGAAACGGAGTTGAATTTACAAAGTGTGACGCACCTCACGGACGATGAAAGCGCGAATCGTTCGTTACCGTACCTCCAGGGAGATTTACGCAACAAGCACCTCAAAGGCAATCGAGAAGACGCAAGCATGCAAAGCCATTCAAGGTAACTGTACTTTTTAAATAATTATGATATTTTGCATTTTCATGGAATCCATCGATGCATTTGAATAATGAATGGTTATATTAAGTTTAAACGGAAGTGTTTTTTAATGCACAATTGTTCGCATAATATTTATGTAGTGTAAGAACGACGCCGATTTCAATGGTATTGGGAAATTCTGAATATAATGACGATCATGATGGGGAGTCCACTTCTAGGATTAATTGTCTAGGTAATCTAAAACATTTCATTTAGCCCAAGCGTTTAACTTAGGCTTTGTAACAAATAACATAACTTTGCAGAATCAAAATCAAATAATTGCAAAGTAAATACAGATTTACCATCGAATGACACTGAGCTCTCATCTGGCAACACTGGTTTAAAGACTTCCAATAATGATTCGGGATGTAAGTAATAATATAATTTCACTGTAGAAAACTCGGTAACGATTCAGTAAACATAAACAATTTTTCCCCGATATATGTAGATCAAGTTAGCGACGGAGACGATGATGACGAGGATTTATTAGCCGCTTGTATTAACATTGGAATGCAAAATAATCGGTAAAATATTAATAATCATCATGGAAATTACGCAATTCGCTGTTTTGCAATTTTTAATTTTTTATTTTACAGGCATAGACATTCCTTCGTAGGAAATAATCTCGAAAAACTTCCTCGATCGGAAACTAATCTGACTCGATATCAAACTAATCTTGCTTTGGATCAAGTTGAACATAAAGGAACTGTAGTGTCCGATAGCTCATCGTTTAACATAAAATATGCAGAGTCACGTGGAATCACAGCTGAAAACGTTTTGACAAAGAAGACTAGAGAAGACGTAAACGAGAATAACGAAAAACTATCCACCAGAAATATTCAACTAGAAACAACGGTAAGAATATTTTAGATTGTTTTTTTCATATTAATTTCATAACAATGTATTTCTTCTATATACTATCTATTTTAATTATATTTTTAAAAGTGATATATATTTTGTTTATAGGTAACGACAAACGTAAATGATGGATGTGCGTGCAATGAGAAATCAAATAATACAACAGCCACGAAAACAGTAAATGATAGTAATCTCGGCAATAATTTCTCGGAAGGAGCAATATCTGCATTACAGAAATCTAATGTATCGTTAGGTATAAACATTTCCAACGATTTTGCCATAACTGATGAACGCGGCACAGATTCCAATGGCTCCGTTAAAGCAGACGAAGCAATAACTGATATTCGGCTAGCAGATATACCATCTATGAAGCAATCAAAAGATTCCGAAAGCAGTGAGTCGATCGATTCTGTCGAGCAGTCTGAACATGCGCTTTTAGAATTATGCATTCAACCCGGGATAAAATCCGAGGGCAACATCACTTTCAATCCAAGTAATGCAGATTACGTGAAGTCGCAGCTGGAGTTATACAACAAGCAAGTAGACTTCATAAAGGGAACAAATAATGATGAAACTGAGATTGACGGTAACATGAGTGGAAAGCCGGAAGTGACCTTCGAGATCGTGAGGACCTCGGATATTCTGCATCGTGACAGCGCGGAGAAGCATATAAAAGAAGAGACATATAGACGGCAGAGAGATCCCGATGCTATGATCGCTTCATTAGATCGATTGACAGCAACGCTGGTTCAACAGACTGAAGCGATACGCGAACGGGACTCCGGTACGATGAAGCAGAGCCTGACGTGCGACACGTGGAATGAGGATTCGCCCAATGACATTTCCTTCCCCAGCATCAGCATGAGCGCACCGCTGGTTGCTTCGTTCAACAGCGATGCGCAGGAAGATCAGCGCACCACTATATCGGAGAACAACGAGCAGATCAACATGACGGAGTCGAAGATCATCCAGCGCGAGGCTATCAAGCTGGCGGAAGCGGTGGATGCAGAGGCGAACAATCAGAACGAGCTCGAAATAACGAGTCTGACGTCTATTGATCTCGAGACGATCAAACCACCGTCCTCAATGGGAAGTTTACTTTCGTTGACGGCAAGCTACACTGGCACTGCCGACAACACTGAGACATTCATTAACCGGGACAGGTGTTATTCCACGTCGCTGCCACCGGCGCCGGTGAGAAGTTGCAATGATCCTCGCAACGTGCGAAAGAAGTCCTTGCCGGTCGGCGTGGTGGCCAAGCGAGCACTGGGTCAGAGTCAGAGCCACACGACTAGCTTGGAAAATTTGCTGAACGAGTGCAGCAGTTCACATTTGGAGAATGTCAAGCCACCGTCCGCGATGGATGAACTGCCGGATGCAGGTGATATGGAGAACAGCATGTTGAGCGTGGCCAGTATCACGTCGGAGATCGCAGATTCGAAGGATCAGGATTCGCACAGTCTGACCGGCAGCGATCCGGTGTTTGAGATGCTGAAGCCGGTCGCCAATGTACTGTCCATGACATGCATGCGTTACGTCGAGGGTATGCAGGGTAGCGCGAGTAACAGCCTGAGCGAGTGCCTGGAGAACATCAATCCACCGTCCTTGTTTAATGAGGTGACTGAAATGGATGAAACCACTATGGAGGCAGCCACCGACACCATGTGCAGCGACACCCTGTGTATAGATATGGAGTTGAATACCGATGAAGCTGTGCACTCAATCGTGGCGGAGGTGATTGACGAAGCGGAGAACGACACCGACGAGGCAGCCACGCCGATCTCGTCCGAGTACTGCGTCAGCAGCTCGGCGGAATCGACGCCAAAGAGGCGACCACACTCGAGGAGTTACTTGACTCCGAAGCAAAAGCGGAACCTAGCGAAAGAGAGGTACAAAACGTACACCATTGCAGCAGAGATTGTCAAGAAAGAAGAGGAGGAACGCCGGAGACAAGACAGCACTGTCAACGGTGCCGCGGGTGATAGAATTCCACGCGGAAAGTGTTCTCCTTTCTCGAAACTGACGCCAAAGCAACGTAGACAAGAGAATAGAGCGAGATTCCAGACGCAAGTGTTGGAGAATCCCTTCCCGAATCTCAATGTAGCCCAAACTAAGGAGGAAGCGGTGCACAAGGTGGCTGCTGAAGATGCCTTTGAGAAACAGGAATCCACGTTCCCGGTCAAGTCCTCGATTCCTACGTTCACTAAATTGCCTGTGTGCAAGGCTCTGAGGAAAAAACGGAATTCGCAGGAGAACAAAGAGAGATATCGCACAAGGACGTTGGACGATTCGGAAACCGTATTCAAGGAGATCGAGCGCAATTCCTCTTCGAGCGTCGGCACGACGGAAGAGGGACAGGCGAGCGCGCAAGGATACGCGCGGGAGGAAATTCAAAACATGCTAGAACAGAATGCCACCATTGTGCTGAACACTCTAAACGAGTCGAGCAAAGTTAATGATTCAACCGGAGACGACATTCTGCATTGCGAGACCGTCACTTTGGCGTCAAACGATTATGAGTCGGATCGCAATCTAAGAATGCGTTTCGTAAACGGGCTTTCGAAAAAACTGATGGGTACGCAAAACCTTAACAACATTCCCATGGCAAACATCGGTAATGAGGAGTTGGAGCATGAGCACGTAGAAGTTGCTTACGAGAACCCAGAAGAGTCAGGTAGCGACGAGGAGTCCAATTGCGCCGATGAGGGACAGGAACTCAGAGAGATGAAAAGACCGCGGATAATCAAGCCGGGAATGACGGGTCGAGATCCGAGCGCGGATTCGAACGGGACAGATAAATCCGAGCCGGAAAGCCCGAAAGCTATTCGAGGACGAAGAAAGGTGCTCTATTCCAACCCAATAACGCGAAAGCCGACCCCGCAGTCCTCGCCATTGAAGCAAGCAAGCCCTGTCATCAGCGGGATACCGATAGGTCGCAGCAACACTTCACCCATTGTTAGAGCTACTAGAGCCACCACTTTACGGCAGAATAACAACAGTACGACAATTACTGCAAGAGACACTCCGAAGTCCAACACAAGTCCGAAGAGAGTATCGCCTTCTACGGATGCGGAGAAGAAGGCACGAAATTTGGCGGCTGTGTCTAAGAGAGCCTCCGTACCTCAAAAGGGATCCACGTTGACTTTCACAAAACCTGCTAAACGTCACAGTACACCCCCGGCTTGTTCGTCAAACTACCAGAATGACAGCAGACCACCGGAGGCTCCGGTCAGACTGCTGGAGCGTCAAGGAACCTTTACGAAGGACGAGCCGGAAGTGGAGAACGCCCCGACAGTGCATTCCGCGTCTGCTTCTCCGATAAAAACGAAAATTGCCAAACCGATCAAGGGCGCTTCATCGAAGGTATACCCGACAGCGGGAAAATCCAAAATCTCCGTGAAGGTGCAGCAAGAGTATCAGCCAAAGGTGACGACGGTCAGCTCCGAAAAGATGCCACCGTCTAAAGGATTATTAGTGGTGCCGAAGAAAGTATCATCTGGAAAAATTGGCGTGCCAACGAAAGTCTTCAACGGCAACGCGCTCCAGAACGACAAAACCGTTCGAAGGGTCGATCCACTGGAACAACGATCTAACAGCAACTCCAACATAGTCTCCAATTCATCTGTGAGCGTACAAAACCGCAAGTTGGCAAAGGAGGCAACGAGCAAGATTGCGAATCTTTGGAAGAAGGTCGAGGAGAGCAAGAATAAGCAGCGTTTCGAGAAACCGGACACCAGGCAATGGATAAAGCCCGTCAATAGCGCCAGCGAGGTGGACGCTGCGACCGCGGTTGTCGCGTTCGAGAACCCGCCGGCGTACAGACTGTTCCGCAGTTCCACATTCGAGGGGATCTCCCAGGAGGACAGCAGCGACGGCAATGTGTCACCGTACAAATCTAACTCCAGCCGACCGCCGGTTTTAAGTACGCAGGTCGGACTTGGTCCTAAGTACAGGAATTCCTGCGACCTGACAGGCATGAGTGCCCACGAGACACCTTGCAAAATCCCAGTGAAGTCCTCTGAAACATATAAGCGTGAGATCACGCAGTTGAGCGACATCCTGGTGACCATGAGGAAGCAACCAAGCACCGATCTTGCAGAGGAGGCAGACTCCACTAAGAGAATGTCCAGGCTTGGTTCCTTCATCAGCGTAGACCCAGCAGCTGAGAATAGCGGCTACAGCGTCCGGATGCCCGCTTCAGCGATCGTGCCACCCTTCAATTATAACCCGAAATCAGACATTCCATCGCAAGTGGCCAAACCCAAATCGGACGAGGATCAGAGTAAATTCGAGACAGCGGATTGCCACGCGAACATAGCTACGGGGTCCACTCGGGTGACGACGGTATAGGGAAATAAATCCCTAAATGGAACGTAAATAAGTTGTGTAATAATCGCCTCTTTGTTCCTGGCTAGTCATTGTGTATATTCACTTGCTACTTTATCTGTACACATTCGTCACATGTGATACGCATTACAAGTAGATTATTTTATTCATTTTCTCCTTTGTCTCGTTATGTGTACGATGTGTACACTTTGGAGCGCGTACAAGTCCTTCAATATCCAGAATAGTTATGGTGATATCCATAATCTCGTACGCATCGCGATGCCAACTTCTTCAAAACCATGTGAAATATTAATAGGAAACCTGAAGACCATTCCTGTCCATTTTGTCTGTTGTATATATACATGACGATTTAGAATAATTCCGAGTTTGAAAGAGGAGAGCGAGAGCGAGAGCGAGAACGCGAGAGAGCGCGCGCGCGCGAGAGAGAGAGAGAGAGAGAGAGAGAGAGAGAGAGAGAGAGAGCCAGTCAGTTGAAAATCTATAGTGTGTAGCGGTGATTCTGATCGGTTATTTATTCAATTTTGTATATATATATATGTCGATATGACGTGAGCGAAGAATGTAGAAAGTTTTAGTAGCACATGTTTAAACCCATGTATGATGTGTAGCACAATGCGCTGGTGATACATTGTTAGTGATACATCTTCGTATTCAAGTTTGAAAGCTCGAGGAAAGCGATCTGTATTTTGTTTCCTTTATATTAATCGAATTCGTATCATCTTTCACAAATGGATATAAAGTCTAATTACTTTTGAAGACTGATAAGTAAGACGATGAAGATCTGGAACAAGTGTCTTCAATCGAAAATTTAATCATAATGAGGAAGTACCGTTTGTAGCGACTGTGAACATAGAGCGGTCTAAGTAGTTTGCTAAAAACGGCATTACAATAACGGAGCAAAAAAATTTTATAAGCATTACCTTAAGTTTCTAGTCTACAGGCAATATATCGTCTATTTTCATTACATATTATGTGTATTATAGATAATCTGTCTCGCTTGTAAACAGTGTCTATTAAAAATTGATTCCCATTGCGGAAGTAAATTACTAAAGAGTGTACGGATCGGTGAGATCAAAATATTATGCGTTTATATTTGACATTATTTTTGTCTTTCATTGAAGAGATTTTATCGATCTTACTGCAGCTTATTCTTAATCTCTTATTCTTTATATAATGTCAATTTTCCTTCTATGTGGGAAACAAATTGTCATCAAACTCTCATCAGAAGGAGATCATTTGGCATATGAGTTAGAATTTATATTTATTAGTTTAATCGAAAAACTTCTTGTACAAGCGATTTTACCCTGTTCCAGTTCGAGTTAATTAGATTTAACTCCGCCAACTTGGAGCCACATCAGGGTGTTCTTACATTGTTCCTTAAAAAATATTTGATCTGTACACTATTACTATTCTTGTAACTTCTTGTTTTGTAATATCATTTTCACTCCATTCTAGGTTTTAAGAATAACTTTTGTTACATATCGTCTTTTAAAAATTCGTCAAATATATTTATAGTTTGTACATTATTACTTGCAGTATAATAAAATTTATAGCTAAGAATATCCCCTCCCATCTTTATCATAATCTAAACTTGAAAGAAATGTGTCATCGGTTGTTTGCGGCTAATAAACGAAATAAACAATGTAGCAAATAAAAAATATTTATTGATCCTTGGTGCGATTATTTGTCGTATATGGGACATTCGTATAAATTAATAGATTTATCCTCAGACACTGATGCAATAATGTTGTTTCGCTGCGGGTTATACTTTACTGACCATACCTATTATAAAAATTATAAAATATCCATTAAGATCTTAAAAGATTGTACATTAAACAAACCTGAAAATTATTTCAAGTTTAAGAGATATACCTGATCCTTATGTTCGCGAAATGTATGCAGACATTGTCTTTGTGCTAATTCCCAGATCTTGACTGTATGATCAGAACTACTTGATGCAAATTGCTGTCCGTCCGGAGAGAAAGCCACGCCAAGTACCCAAGAAGCATGACCCGACATTGTTCCGGCTAGATTTGCATCTTTGCTGAATAGAAAGGAATATGAAGCATTAATACTAATTTGTTTCCAGTAAAACTAATACATGTATTTATATTGGGGTGCTGGATAGCTCAGTGCTAAGACAGCTTGCCTGGCAAAAGATCCATTTAATTTCCAGAAATGTTATTCGCGCGTGTATACGCGTGCGTGTAAATTTCCACTTTACTTACACATCATAGAGCTTCATATGTCCGTCATCAGATGCTGTAAGAAGCATCTGAGAATCAGGTGAAAAACATAAAGACCTGATAGGCATTGCGTGACCTGTAACAGTAAATATTTAATAGTACAACAGTTTATATCTTGGTAGTAACATGTAGTACACTTGAACCTACCTTCCAGTGTACGCAAAACTTTTCCATAAGCAACATCAAAAATATTGATAATACCATCTATTGCACCGCTTGCAATGTATTTACCATCAGGGCTCTGGAACACGGTTTCTTATACACAAGTTACGTATTATATATTTTTAAATAATTTACTTACATAAGCAACACTTAATGTGAATTTGCCACCTCTCGTGTCTAATGTCTGTTCTTGTTTACCGTTATCGGTCCCATATAGATGTATCTTACCGGCATGACTGCCAGATACAATGAATTTATCATCGGGAGAAAAGACCAAGGTCCAAATGTCTACGGGGCCAACCTCGATGCTCAATAGCTTATTGCCGGAGTGCAAGTCCCATAATTTCAGACTAGAATCGAGCGAACTTGAAGCACATTCTATAAATCAAAGAGTAGAGATAGAATCTAAATCAATTAATAGAGGAAAGTCCCCTATTATGGGATAAGCTCCTAATATGAGATAGCAGGGTTTTTGCTAAATAGGCATCATCTATTGGTTTCATCGTTAATTTATTGCCCTTGGAGTGAAATCTGTCTAGTGGAAAATTCATTGTTAGATCGTGTAATCATTGTGAACAAAGATTTGTAATTAAATTTTGATGTTGAAAACCTGTCATCTCATATTAGAAGCCTACCTCACAACAGAGGACCTTTCTCTATATATTTAACCGTTATTTCTATTCGTTTATATATACTTGATCCGTCCGAACTAATAGCTATGGACACAACTCCCAATGAATAGCCAGTTAATTTGTGTTTTAACTTCAAAGCACCGTCCGTTAGTTCCCATACTTTCACAGAATCGTCCACAGAAGCTGTTACTAGATACTCTGCCGTCTCATCCTCGTTAGATCGTATAGAGTCCCTGTCAAATAATATAGTCACAAAAAATTTTTGCCCTTGTTATAAATTAACTTTTTAATTACCGTGAATCCTCATTATCCGGATGGATATCTCTCTTTCTCTTTGGACAACCCCATCCACAAGTCCATATACTATCCTCGTGGGCATTTTCTGTTTTATGTATCAAAGAATACTGAAAGAAAAAAATAGAGAAGGAGAAAAACGCCGGTAGAAATTACTAATAAATAGATTTATTCTCACCATCTTATTATCAAACAGTAAACTTTTACTCAAACGAACGTAAAACGTTAACTCTTCATACGTTCCTCAATGTTTACGTACATACATACATATACAATTCTCAAAATTTTCACCGTGTATTCTTAACCTCCGACAGTGATACAATCACAAGACCACTACTGTAGCGTCTCGCGCAAGACTAGAGACAGAAACCTGAGAGCGGCCACGCCGGCGTTTTACTTGATACCGTTTTCTTCGACTGATTCTAGCGCTTTACGCCCATTTTCATTTTTGGAACTATTCCGCTACACCCATTTTCAAGCACTGCCGATAAAGTCTCCACTTGGTGCGTGTCCGTGCTTTTTTAGTCAAACGGATATTGTTAAATATATTATAAATGACCCCAATGGATACCGTTTAAGAAAGGAATTACGCAACTTTGTAAATAGATATAATTTTTTTACTTCTTAAATTGAGACCCTAAATAAGAAATAAAATAACAAAACCATTTATATCTTTGTATAAAGTAATTTAAAGTAATTTCTACATTTTTTATATTTAAACTATAGTTAATATTTTTATACAGGGTGAATCTTAATGCCTGCAAAAATTAATAAAATTTGTATATTTCGACTTCTGTATTCTTTAATACCTGCTTTAATACTAAAGCTAAATTATTTTAATTACAAGGGGACTGATAGAGAAATTTATTTATTGATACATATACGAAATATATATTTTGTACATAAGACATAAATGTATACGCTATAATTTACACAACCATAATTAATGTTTCATCTGTTCCTCCAACTGTTTTACTTTACCAAATAACGAATTGTATAATTCATTTTTTGCATTATCTGTCCATGTATCATATACTGTAATGGGTGCCATGAAATTAACTAACTTAGTGTGAACATTGTATCGCACCTTTCTGCCCTTTGTCGTTCGTGTATCAATTTTTCTTTTTATTTTTTTACGCATATTCTGCAATTGGATCCACTGTTTGCTGAGCTGTATAGGATCCGTTACATCTGACGACTTATATTCTATCAAGTCTCTCAACAATTGATGATAAAAATCATCGTCGTCAAAAATTTCTACATCGTATTCCTGAATTTTTCTACCATCGCTATCTTCATTCAACAAAGATTTACCAACAATATTATATTCAGAACGCTTCAATTGAGTTCTCTTTCTTAATTTACTTATATTGCTCATAGCAAATTCAATTTGTTTCAAGGTGGTCTGACCCGAGCCTTTACTTAATGAGCCTGTTGCAATCCGTGTCTTGTCGTTCCATTTTTTTAAAACAGAATCTCTATATTCTTTGTAGGAATTATGATCTCTTTGCAAAACATTCTCATAGTCATTAAATTTCAAAAATTTTCGAGGCACTTCTTCATCTGTTTCTATGTCTTCATCAATGGATGATTGCTCTCCGTTTTCTAATTCGTCTTCAGTGTCGGAAGGTATTTCTTCATTTGCTGGATCATTTGTATTTTCGTTCTTGCCCTTACTCCTGTCGATTTTTCTCTTGTTAGCATTAACACATAGATTTCTGGTCTCAGAATATTGTTTCAACAAAAGACCTTTCAGTTGCAACATGTTTTCCATGATCTGTGTCAATTTAGTTTTAGTTTCATTGACCTTCTTTACAAAATCCACATTTGATCCAAGTTCTTTATGCGTGTTATATTGTGGCATTTGATTACTAACTATAACACACTTTTGTAGTCTTATTCGCATCTCCAAAAAATTCTCCCAAAGTTTAAGCTGATTCCTGACACAATTGCCTTTCTCTATTTCTGCTGTGACATTTGTTTTAGACATTGTTTTAATGATAGAATCTTCATGTTTGGAAACCGCATCATCGATATCCATATTAAAATCATTTTGTTCCTCTAAATCAGACGTACTTTCCGAGACATTTGTAGATCCCTCTTTTAAACTTGTTTCTTCATTGCCGACTGACTCGTCATCGCTTTGCTTCAATGTATTATCTGTCTCCTCATCTTCAACATCTTCCTTGGAATTTTCACTTTCTGTATCTTCACTCGTACTGTCGTCCTCATCGCTGTATATATCTTTCCTTGAGATCTTTTTACCAGCGTACCTGTGTTAATATAATACAATATAAATAAAAATTGTCTTCTCAGAATCTATTTACACATCCTAATTCTTCTTAACTTTTACATGTGCAGATATAAAATACATAAAAGGAAATTACCTTTTATCCACTTTATCCAAGGTATCAACATTCTGCCTACGAATTTTAGATGCCTGGAATTCGTAGTCCGAGGCCTCATCGCTTTCGTAAGGTTCCACTACTTTTGCCCTTGTATCTTCCGGTTCTTCGTCCGAACCAAAATCCGGCTTCGTTGTAATTAAAGCAGTAATTTTGTCAGATAAGCTTTTTCTAGCCATTTTTGCACGCTCGTCTGGCAATTGTCTACGAAGCACATGTGCACGAGACAACTTAACCTACGATAGCACACGGCAATGGTGGAAAGCGGGTTGGGTCTTTTGCGCATGCGCGTATGGACTATATAAAGTTGACTTTCCATGGACAGCGCAAGTCACAGCCCTAAGGTTACGTTTTCACTGAGCGGGTCACACAATCGCGTCGATAGTCCAATGAGCGTACAGCAGTTTCCAGCTTGCCAGTTTGCCAGGTATAAAGACGCAGTCTATCTGTGTAAGTGATAAGTCTATGATAGGTGGTTATACATTTAACCTAAATCCACCAATAGTTGAGTAAAAGATCAATTATGCATCGTCTCGCGAGAAACAGATGGATTTACAAATGAAATCGAGCAGATCTTTACCGCCATTAGTTGAAGGCAAAATTCACGGCAGTTTGAGGCTCGTTATCAATGAGGTCCTCTGGATTAGAAAAAGCCCTGGGGATGTTACGGTAGTGGCTTCCTGGTGGGGTGAACATGATAACGCGCAATTCAGGTGATCTTATAAACCAGCTTGTTTAATTCAATCGTAGTGAAAATAAGACAAAATCTAAACGAACTTTATGTTGATTGCATTGGAAAATATTTTATCACCTCTACTTTGTGTAGTTTTCATGTTTTATTTCTTCTTAGACCGAGAGACAGTGCCACAGGAACGGAAAGAACGAGTGAGAATACAACCGAAGTGTACGCTATAAAAACTAATGCGATACTGTTTGAGGATTATATTAAAAACTGCGACGCAATAGAGCTAGTGATCATTGCAGAGAATACCCATGATGTTATTGGTAGAGGACACGTGGGAGACTTGTCTAAGATATTTTCGTGCAGATATTATTCTCAGTTTATTCCAATATTGAGTAACGACAGCCATGAAATAGGAAAACTATATGTTTCTTTGCAATTGGTGTATTTGGCAAAGCTTTTAAATACGCCAACCAAAACACGCAAGAACAATAAGAAGGAAAATATTTTATTGTTTGCTATTAATAATTTACAATGTGAGGAGAAGATGCCAGTGAGATCTCGCAATAATGTGGAGAGCACTGAAGAAAAAAAATCTGTAAAATCTGAAAAGATTGATACATGTAATACATATGGATCTGTTCTCAAGTCCAAGCGATCAGAGTCTCGGGAATCTAAGAAGAAAATGAATGAAGTGATAACGGGCGAGTTGGTTACTCAAATTGTTGCTAGAGCACAGCATCTTAGAGAAGCGATATTAAAAGAGACTTACAAAGAAGACTCTTCAACTCTGAGCGATCAGAGTGACTTGAGTAACGGATCGCCTTCTAATGCTACATCTGAAAACAAAATAAAGCTATACAAATATATGTTAGGGATGGAAATGACTTCTTCAGAGGAAAAGGAAGTCTTAAATACGCTGAGGTCAATATCTCCAAATTTACGTTCGGCAGATCTGACATCTAAAATGACCACCACCGACAGAGATGATAATACGAATGTTGGATGGAACAAAAATTTTCTTATACAATTAGACAACCCTAAAGAAGATCCATTGGGTAAAAGTGAGACTTGTACCGAGTTGAAAGGTTTGTAAAATAACAGGTGATGTTAAAATTTTCATTAATATGTTATTACAGTAAATTATTTGTATAATTTCAGAGACATATCCTCTAGATTATGTAAACAGTATTAGACTTTTTATCGAGTCTTTTACATTGACGTCTGCGGGATATAGACGTGCAAAATCTACATGTCTGCAATGTATGTAATCTTTTTATCTCGCAACAGGATTTCAGAAAAATATAACATTTTTATCCAAGTATACAGGGTGTTACGGATAAGATGTCCATCCACTCGTATACAGGTAGAACTGGTTAAACTGAAAAGGAAAGTTATGTACCATTTTGTAAAATTCGCAATAGTTTTCGAGTTAGTAAATAAAAACATCTGAGCGAATGAGCATACGAGAAGCAGTAGGCCAGACTCGGCAAGCACATCAAATGCCTTATTTGTTTGGTCTCGTAGCAACGGTGAGCGTCCCAATCGTCCCATACAGTCCCATAGCGAAAGGTGGAACGACGGAAAAAATTGTTACGCAGCAAGCGGCTTTAAATAATGCTCACTGCTCGTCCCTCATCGCTACAAGACTAAACAAATAAGCCATTTAATGTCCGTCTAGCCTGGCCTACCGCTTTCCTTGCGCTTATTTGCTCAGACAGTTCAATTAATTATTCGATAACTATTAGAAAGTTTACAAAATGGTACATAACTTGTCTTTTTAGTTTAACCCGCTCTACTTGTGTGCAAGTGGATGAACACCTTATCCGTAACACACTGTATATTGAAAACACATTTTTTCAAACGCAGATGATGTACCATTGTCACTGACATATTTTATTCAATATGACACAACATGTGGATTTATAAAGCAAATAAGTACGAAATCTAGTAAAGAAACTAAATTTATAAGAACGTGTGCTAAAAAACAAGTGGGTCAAGGTAATAATTTATATCTTGTTGAAAAATTATTGAATCGTAAATGTTATTTTTAGTTAAATATAACAATGAATATATGCTCAATAATGAATATAATTTTTACAGTTGTTAACTTCAACTCTGAAGGTATCTTTCGTATATCAAGACATAATATAAAGAAAAATCTTGCTTTGAGATTTAAAGTTTTTGTGAAACATCGTAACCAAAAATTCCCTAATGAATTAGGATTTGGTGTCATGAATGTCAATGACATTACAAGCACCACAAACTTGAGTAGCGTACAATGTATAGCCATTGTCAATAAGAGCATCAAAATGGGTGAATTAAAGATTATGATGGAATTAGGTTGCGATTTTAATCATTTTGGTAAAGAATTTATTGGTGAGTATATTATCGAGATTTAATTTTGTTAGCTAGATCTAATGTTTTTGTTTGAATATTTACTAATCAAATTATTTCATCAGATGCTGTAATGTCTAAAAAAGAAAATCTTCCTGGTTTGAAAAAAAACTCCCTGATGAATTCAAATAGTAAAAAATATAAAAGTGCAACAGGGACTCATTCCTCTAAATCTAATTGCAAAGTTTCATCTGTGTCTGCCAAGCGAATTGAGTGTTTAACTAGTAATAGCAATAAGGATATAATTATTACAAAAGATATACTGGAACACCAACAACAAAGTTTAGATAATAAAAAGATTGATACAAGTAATCCAGAAAGTGATACTAAAGATAAGGTAATTTTAAATTGCATAGAGCTTGTTGAATGAATGCTGTCCGTTTGCATCTTTACATTAAATGTTACTAAATATTTAGCAAGAGCTCATGAAATAAAACAATGAGCAGTAGGAAGCAATAGAAAATGAGATAATTGTAGTTCTCCATTGTTATTTCTTGTTCAAGTTTCAATGATAACTTAACGTAAATAGCCAAATCGTGTTACAGCATTCATATGTGTGTTTGAAATATATAATATAGTTGTATTCTAAATACATATGTACTCTGTTATTTGATTTTAGGTTTTACTTCACGGCTTGATATATGTCGCTGAGGGTAAAGATTTGTTAGAATCTAATACCTATCTTATATGTAGAGCGTTTTGGCGTGAGGACAAAGCAACGAGTCAAATTTGTAATAATACAAAAAATCCATTCTATCATTTTTTCCAAGTAAGAATTTTTATCCTTTAACCGAGTAATTTTCATTGTACAAAAGTGAGCGCTTTACCTTAAAAATATTTATTTCAGCTAGTACCTTTAATTCATGGTACAGAGTTATTGGAGAGAATCAGAGACAATTATATAATCATAGAAGTATACAATCGGCAGAATAGTGGAACAGATAATCTGTTGGGAATAGCAAAACTGCCCGTGCATCAGTTATACATCGCATATAGAGATCCACTTATTTTACCTCACTTATTGTTATCAAAGGTAATTACAATTAATTAGTACTTTAATCAAATTTTCAATTAATTATATAATTATATTTTTACGCAGTATCCTGTAATAAGTGTAGACGGTTGGGTTAATATTAACGATCCAGTGAGCGGAAAATTTTGCGGAAAGCTGCTTGCACTGGTTGCACTTGGTACTGTAGAACAAATAGCACTACTAGAAGTATCAAGAGGCCTAAGAAATACCAATAATATGTCGCGAACGGATTATAATTATCACTGCTGTGTTCCCGATAATACTAACAATGCAATAGGCGGCCAAGAGAGTTCACAGTATAATGTTCCTGGGGTGTCAAACCCCAGTTCTGAACAATTCACTCGCAGTAATAATTTCTCTCATGTTTATAATACGCCCGATCAAGATTTGGCATCTGTCGATTATAAAACTCAAGAAAGTCAAACAGACATTTCAAGTTTGAAAAATGCGACAGCGGAAAAACCAACTCAGGAAGCTGTGTTTTCGGAACAATTAGCTTTACGCACCTTGGTTGATCGTTTGACAAACGTATTAGATATTGATAAAGTCAGTACAAACCAGTCAGCTCAAACAGAAATTAATCAAGTAGATGAAGGGGAAATACATGGAGAGTTATGCTTGAATACACTGAATAGTAATAGTCTTGCTGATGATAGCGATAGCTGCAATCCGAAAAATGATTTTCGGTTATCTACGGAAATGCACAGAAGTGTTGGTGTCGGTGCTGAATATAACGAAGACTTGGATCAACGGCCAAATAGTGCTTACAATAATGTGTCGAACGCATCTTCAACGGAAAGGAATGCGCCAAAAGTAGAATCAAATATTAATTGCAACGGTTCTTTTTTCCGATCTGTCATTGAAATAGAATGTGCACTGCATTTGCCAAGGATCGAAGAACCGAACGAATCAGTAGAGCCAAGTACATACGTAACCTTTCAAAATTTAACTCGTAAATTTGATTCTACTGATCAATTAAATTCATATATAGCTACAAACGTATTTCTACACAGTTGTAATCCAAAATGGAATTGGAGATGTGATGTAAAGCTGTCAACAGACTTACTTTTAAACGTATGTAACTTCTTATTCAGTTTTAAATATGTCCCAATTATAATTCAATGTATAACTTATGATGTAGTCTTAATCTATGTTTTACTTCTACTTTTTTCAGAATCAAAAAAGATTAATTCTTAAAGTGTGGCACTTGATTGATCCAGATACATCTAAAGAAATAAATTTAAAAAGAGACATTGTGATTGGTTTTTCCGCGATTGATCTTTCAGTTCTGATGGCCGGATTTCCCGCGATATCCGGATGGTTTCATATTATGGATTTTACTGGAAAATGCAACGGACAAATTAAAGTAAATTCTCGTGTTAATTTCTATCTTTAAAAAATAATCTTATGTCTTCTTCCCTCATATTATATAAAGGAGAGTCCCCTATTGTGCGATAGGTTTCTAATATGAGATAGCGGAGTCTCTGCTAAATTAATAGGCATCATTTATTGATTTCACCATAAATTTATTGCCCTTGGAGTGAAATCTGTTTAGTGGAAAATTGATTGTTAGATCGTGTAATCGTTGCGAAAAGAGATTTGTGATTAAATTTGGATGTGTTGAAAACCTACTATCTCATATTAGATTCCTCATAATAGAGGACTTTCCTCTATACGTATATATATTTATTTCTCTATATATTTATTTCAGATAAGTATAACACCTCTGGATAATTTATCATTATTAGGAAAATTGGCACCAACTAATACCAATTTATCAAGGTGTAGTAATTTATCGGAGGCAAACGGGCCACATCCGTATAATGCGCTTTGCACGAATACGGAGTTAAATGGTGCACATCAAACATTATCATCTGCAAATCAAAATAACGACAAATATGTACAAAACGATTGTAGATTAAATGTGGAAACTGGTCACAATTTAGAAGACGTTTCTATGTCTTTTTTATCGTCGTCTTTGAAGTAAGTGAGATCAGAATTACCATAATTATTTCGTTTATCATTATTTTACTAGTTTTTTTTAACGCAGATTTGGTTCTCATCAATGTTTGTTACAGGCAAAAGTTAACCGAATTAGATGAGATCACGAAACGTTTGCAGTCACGTCTGCGTGATGTCACAAACGCTGCTTTCGATGATGAATTTGATAATGATTTTGATATAATCGAGCCTAACAGTGACAATGAAAATACTAACGACAAAAATATTGAGACGGCACAATCCGCAGTCTTGGAATATTCTAATAATGGAACGTCACAAATGTCAAAACAATGTGAAATACAGAACGATCGAGACGTAAGTGACGAAAAGCAAACTTCTGCCAACATAAGCAGTAATAATAATTTACATTTTGAATCAGCGTCGAATAAAAATAGAGCTATAAGTTCCGAAACGACCGATACCGGGTATTGTTCAAGTTTTAATACACGTTTCCATCAACATTCTGGTTATTATCACAATCAATATCAAAATCGATATAGCTCAATGCACAATTCTTTATCGGATAGCAATACAGAATATCCCGTGCGAGGTACTAAAACACATATAAATCATCTGCTTGATAAGCTTTCTTTGGACCTGCCACCTACCACTTCCTCTTCAGAAGTGGCTGTGCCAATAAGAAAAAACATTCTAGAGTTATTTGCAAGTTTACGAGAGCATAGAAATAATTCGCAAGAGAAAGAAAAAAATGGTCGTGACATTAATACTTACACGGTGCTCACGCAAACTGATAATGAACAGCAGCACGCTCACTCTCACACGACGAATTTTATCGCTTCTAAAACGGCCGTTGGAGAAAATATTTCCGTCGAATTGCCTCGCAACAGAATATCGGCGGTAATACGCGAGGAGTTAGTCGCAGAGGAAAATAACGACAGTACAAACTGTGATGAATTAACAACTTATTTGATAACTTCCAACATACGCCATATGGACCTAGATAGTATATTCAATCCACTTTTATATCAGCATTTAGTGCCAGATTTGCAAGTTGCAGCTGCTGTATCGCCGGAAGGAGAAGCTGTGGAACAACTAGATAATCGATACGCAAGAAATTTCGACATAGCAACACGCAACAGCAGTGATATCGATCATCCGAAAGAAAACAATACTCCATTTCGAAACGATGCGCAACTGAAAGATCAGGCGACTGCTTTAGAATTTGATAAAAAGAAGGAACTTTTCAGTTTAACATCTTCAGATATGTCAGAAAATGTCGATAGTAGTATTGACATGACCGTCATTTACAAATCCAGCGAAAATGATTTAATATCAACTAATAGTCCGGAATCGACCGCTACTACATCACTCAACGAGTCACCTGTACAAGCCGAGGCAGAGATAAAAGATTATTGCTCCATCTTATCTGAATTAACTGTACCTGGAGTGTCAAGACAAGCACCTGAGGGTGGAAATCCTGTAGAGGAAGTCAAGATGTCAGTGGCAAAGTGGCAAAGTGATACCCAAGATGTATCAGCAACAGACAGCTAAATACTCTTGAATATTTACGAGATAATTTGTAATAAAGTAGATTAGACTATAGAAAGAAAACTATGTATTTATAAGCGCATTTTTTAATAATACAACATAGTTTTACATTCGCTATAATTACATCAAGCTGAAATAAATGAATATTAATGTCAATATTAACGGCAAGTTTTTTTAGTCAGTTTTTTATTGAAAATCTCGCGTCTAATTTGAACATCTTAACTATTTGAACTTAAAGTACACTTACATTAATTGGTGCTTTAACTTAATTTAAATTTATTTATTACTATACATACTTTTTGTCATAGAATAAAATATAATCTTATTCCGAAGTAACACGAAACTTCTACTGACTGATGACCGTGTATACGTAATAATAGTATAAGATCAATATTGATGTGTCGAAAATTTTACTATTCCAGATATTTAAACTACTATATATATAACATGCGCCTATTTTTATATAATCTTTGTGTATATAGTACCTAGATAAATAGATTTACAAAAATGCAATGTATAAATATTAAAAATAAAATTAATCCACATACATATATAAAAAAATTTTTTTTAATGGAATGGTGAAAGAATGGTATCGAATAAAAGATCGTATATTTGAAATGAAAAAATTACTATATAATTTGATTTGTTTTAATCTTTTAGGTAAGCCGAGAGATATGTTTCTCTTCTTGTCCATTCCTTGATTGCAGCAGGATGCATCAACCATATCTTTGCATCGGTGCCTTCATGAACGTGAATACTTGAACATGTTCTTATTTTCTATAATTATATAATTAATTATTTCTATCTATTTAATTGTCTATTTACACACACATATTTTTTTAAGTACATATTTCTGTTCCTTTGTACATTTATGTAGTTTGCATCAATAGAATTTATAAAATCATATATGTATATAATTATAAATATAAAATCATATTTAGTGAAAACTACTGCCACTATGCATGATTTAGGAGGAAGATTTAAATTAATAACGTTAAAAACTTACGCGAAACAATTCGAGTTTTTTCTTAAATTTCATTTGCTTCTGAAATTCACTTGACATGCAGATTTTACACAAGAAGATTTTATTATTCAGGTGCCAATAATCTCCCGTTGGTGTTTTGCCACATATTTTGCAAATATCAGTGTTGCGATTGCAACACTTGACAGCAACACCAAGTTGCATTTTAACTCTACTACCAAACTATGTTCAAACGTAACACCTTTTGTCTCCTTACTGACGTACGTTCCGGGCCTAAAACGACGCAGTCTTTACTTTAATTGCTGAATATGTTTTGCTATGTATTTCGGATGAAAATATTTTGGAGAAACTGCTATAAAAGCGATGGAAAGTGTAATGAAAATTATTGAAAAATTACTATATATTCCAAAATTAATCATAATTTTCCTTATGAAATTTAAATTAATACTATGCAATATGAAGAAAGTGTAAGTACCGTTGAAAAGTAATTAATACATTATGGAATATCAGCTGATATTATGAAATTTACTGAATTTAACTAAAAGTAGGTTTTTTTTTAAAGAGAATCTTTCACGGAAATTTTATTGGAATATTGAAATGATAAACAAGATCAACTGCAAGAGGTTTTCAAATATATTTCAGCAAAATTTCATTGTATTTTCAATAAAATATTTCCACCACGGATAAACATACAAAATTGAGTACCCTGGATTTTTGCTTATATCGAAGATCTTTCTGTCACTGGAAGGCGCAAACGGGTGTTTTTGTATCTTAACATGTTTAGGAATAGCAGAAATGTAATCGGATGGAGATGTATAATCCTTCACGTGAGTGACAGGTTTGGCGAATCGAGCGAGACCGCTGTAGCCCTTTTTGCTGATACTGTGAGGGCATAACTATAAGATCGAGTTAATATGATCTTATACTCTTGACATTAAAATAGCAAGTTCATAAAGAATAGAACAAGAAGTCACGATGAAATCATAATGACTATCAAAAGTCATATTTTGATCATGACAGAAAATTGATACTCATAACTGTATGTTAGAATTTAAATGTGGCAATAATGGATAGTAATAGATACTCTTGATTTTTAAATAACTTTTTGTCGTACTTAGGTATAAAAATTCGTACCCTGGTCTTAATGGCGTTAAAAGATTTCAGGACGTCGTAAGAGCCGGGTCCTACGTTGGGGTAATCTTCCGCAGTATAGTGTCTCATGAAAGAACTCATACCACTCCGAGAGGTATCGCGCGATTGTCCGGATCCGAAGCATATTCTCTGCCGTTTCGGTTTTCGTAGTACATATTCGAAATCTGTATCGACGGAGAATAGCTGCATAATCCATCAGATTTTGATTCTTTCGAGAAAATCACTAACACCCTAATTTCTCTCTTGTCTTTGTAGATTTACGTCGTTTATCTTCTAAATTATAACACTCTCCCTGTCCACCCAAGTCTACTAGGAGCCCTAGCTAGGAGGTCGATATGAGATGTCTTCGCAATCTTGTACATTTTACTATGGTAACGTTAACATATATATATATATATATATATATATATATGTTAACGTTACCATAGTAAAATGTACAAGATT